TTTGTTCTCCGATTTGTTGTGTACGTTCTTCGAATTTAGGGATTCCTTGAGAGTTTAGGTTATGAGCGGGATTTTCAGAAATACTCACTGGTTTTGATCTCTAGAGTTCGATTCGTTCGGAATCTGAAGTTTATTGTGTACGGAAACTAGATTCGATTTCTCGTTACTATGTTGAGTTTGATTTTGATCTTATTGCAGTATCGTTTGGGTTTAACGAAGAGTCTCTTCTCTGGAGTGATTATGTATAGTTGCTAAAAAAGAGATTTACATTTCAGAATCTGGGATTTTTGATATTGCAGGCATTTGAGAATTACAGTGTGGAGAAGGATATAGCTGAGAATATAAAGAAGGAGTTTGACAAGAAACATGGTGCTACTTGGCATTGCATTGTTGGTCGCAACTTTGGTTAGTTTCCCTCTCGTCACTTCTCCTTAAGGCGACATTGTTTCGCGGTTACGGGAATCTCTAGATCCTAATTCAGTGGCAGATGGTGATTTCTTAGTAACTAAGTGTTGAACAAATTATTCTCATTTGGCTCATTTTGTTCTGGTGCTGTCAATCCTACTTTGATTCTCAACTGGTCAATAGTGAGTCAGATCAATGGTTTGGTTGCTTCTCTGTCTTAACAATACTTATTTTGGAAAGCTTGTTCTTGCATTTGAATGGTTTTTGTACACTTAGCATTGGAGAAAGTTTAAGTTGGGTTTGGTCCCAGTGACATATAAGTTTGAAATTTGAAACTACAAATGATGGAGATGTCCTGTCTCGGTACCTTGGAAGCGATGAAGTAAGTTGACAATAGGATATATCGATCTAGCTTCCTCGGAATACATTTTGCATTGTTTAAATCTTCATACTTTTAGTGTACTTTCTTGAACAATTACATTTCTTTTGCATTCAGTATAGAATCTACTGTTCTATTAGCATAAGGTGGTAGCATCCCTTAGCCTCGTAGTTGTTGGATTTAGCTTTTCTTTTCTACCCAATCATCTTTGTTTTCTTACTCATGTTCATAAGATAATATTCTAAAACCGTGCTGGATCCTATATGTGTCGATTAGAATCTGAGTGCTTCGACATACTCAACTTGTGTTATTGCCTATAATGTTTACTCATTCCCGTAGTCTCATATATGTCCTGCAGGTTCTTACGTAACACACGAGACGAACCATTTCGTTTACTTCTACCTCGACCAGAAAGCTGTTCTGCTCTTCAAGTCAGGTTAAGAATTTAGAAAACCAAAAAAGCTCATCTCTGGAAAATTGGGATGTTCAATCGCATTATCATCATCACGTTATAGTTAGTTTCTGTTTTTTGTATCTATGTGTTCCTTAAAGGCTTTTAACCAACAAAAATTGGAGAATAAACCCCCTTAAAACAAAAACAAAAAAGTCTTTTAGTAGTACTTGTTCATGCATCTTCAAATGTATATTTGATTTGATCAGATTCAAAACTCTGCTTTGAGAAATCCGAATGCCCGGTTTAGTGTGTTGCTTTCTCTTTGTCAATTGGTCCAATAATAGTCCAATTGCTATCTAAATTATGAACTTTCAAATTCTCAGAGCATACTTAAATCATGGATTCTATGTTCTAAAGCATAATTTAAACAAAATAGTTTGTTTTCAATTTGAAAAGGTTCCATCTTTTTCGAAGCTTCGACTTAAGAAACATAGCATAACAATAGACTAGATCATAGCCCAAAATTAGACTCGATTTTCATCTTTGAATCTGAGAATGTAATCAACCTGGACCACGTTGAGCTAGGTACAATTGTAGTCCCGCTTCTCGCGTAATGCTTTTGGCAATATCACGGGACAAAGCATTGGCATTGGGAGAGGAAAGTCTGAAAACACAACCTCTAAAGCCATGAATAATCCGATGGAATCTGTTAATAAAGTTACGATACTTTGGCCACTTTCGGGTTGTTGTAAGGCTGAGATATCTGTACCATAGTGGGAACATACCTCAATATCCTCCACATGTAAATCTCTTAAACTGTTTATAGCCCCAAAAATGGCTCTTACGCGCGAAAAATCCCAGAGCATGAAATTTATCTGCAATTGTGTAAGTTCCTTACTATCCATGCTCCTCCACACAAAGAATTTCGGCCCCTAAATTCTCCATTTATGAGCTTTAAATCAATTTTAAATATTAATAGCAAAAATTGTTAATTTCGAAATTAACTGGTTTCATATGTGAAACAATGAAACTTTAGGGGCCGAAAGAGTAAATAAAAGTAGACAAAATTACAAATATTGCCGAATTCTACTCTCTT